ACAATCCAAGGAGAGTATGCCAGTTTCATTATTGTCATCACCAGCAACATCCTCATCCTGGTGGCTAACATCCACTGCATTTTTTTCCAGGTGCCAAGCGTCACATTCATTGCTTTGCCTTGCATATACTCTTGTCAATCAGCTAATAATCCTTAGTCTTACTGTGCCAGGACATAGGTTAGCAAATCCTCAAAGAGTTTTATTATAAAACATAGGTATGATGGCTGCTATGCCAACAAATATATGTGGGGAAAAGAATCTAAAGTGAATACAGGTTTGTGTGAGAATTTGCGGCTGGTTTGTTCTGTATTCTGCAAAAATGGTATAACAACCAATCCTGTCTAGATTATTTTCTTCAGTGTAGGTGAGTGAAGAAGAGTACCATATCCCGAAATCTTTCCAGAGACAGCCCTTTTGATTCTCCGGTTGAGACAACTCTGGCTCTGAGTTAAGTCTTTGCCAGGCAGTGGGCTGATTGTGTTGGGATATGTTGGATGCAGCACAAAATAAAGCAATCAAAAAGAAAATTCCTTGGAAACTCTCACTGGTATTTAATATTTTATTCATTCTCGTGTTATGTTGTGCCTCGTCTCGAGTTAAACAGCCTCCTAGGAGTGAGGCAGTACGAGGTTGGCAAGGATTTTTCCATGGATTGCTACTACAATACAATGGCATTTTGTTTGCTGTTTTGTGTCCGTGTCTTCTAGCATTCTTTTTGACTTTCAAGGAAAAAAAGAAGGAAAAGAAAAAGAAACTCTCCTATGAATAGCAAAGAAAAGGAAAGAAAAGTTCCTTTTAAACTTTCAACCTTTTTCATTTAGTACAGGGTAGCATGTAAACATTTCTTTTCTTTTTTTCCATCATGGCAATGTGCTGGTAGTTCTTTTTGTGTGTGTGTGCTTTAAATAGCCTTTATTCCCCCTCCTTCTCTTTTTTTTTTTTACCACATAGCATTGCTTTTCCTTGATTGATCCAGAAAATCAGTAGAGGAAAAAAAATCAACCGTGTACACATATTAAGAAAGGCAAGTCAGAAGAAGATGGATCAAACCATCCATCTATCCATGTGGCCATTTATCTACCCATCCATCTCGCTACCCACCCGCCTCTATTAAAATAAATAGCAGGCACTGTACACACGGTTGGTTGGCTGAAGTTGCGATCTGGACAAAAGGTCTGTTTGGGAAAAGGATGCTGAACCTCTAATTCTATTTGTGCCGGTTGAAAATCAGGAGGGGTTTTTCTACACTTCACTTTTATTAGATTATTTCTTATAGATGGTTTCTTTTTTCCTCCCAGACGCGTGGTGGAGGCTGCTGAAGCAGTTGGTCTATAGTTGGAATAATTAAATTAACCATTTGGTACAACTTTTAGGGGAGAGATCGCGTGTAGAAAGCACAACTAGAACAAAACAGGGCGTTGGGGCTGGGGCTGGGGGCTCGGGCCTGGCCCAGCCCCGCACGCCTTTCATCTCTGAGCAAAAGCAAGACCCTGAGCCACAAAAGACTGTCCGAGGAAGGGTAGTCCAGGGCTTGGGGAGTAGAGGGGAGGGGGACGATGTCACTGAACAAAATAAACCTACAAGGCCTACAAAGGGGAAAAAGAAGTCAAGAGCATTTGCTCATCCCACCGTGCGGTTCCTGCCCTCAAAAGACCAGGCTCACTGCGCCCAGGCGATGTTGGGCACCAGGGGGCGCCTGGAGAGAGGCCGGGGCCGGGGTTGTCGGGGGTGGCACGGGGTGGGGTGACCATGCCGGTGCCCAGGAGCCGGCTGGCGAGACTAGGTGGAGTCTGCGGAAGCCTTGGCAGACTAGAGTCGCAGACCGCAAGGAGCAGAGGGACCGAGCCCCAGGCAGGCGCCCAGGGCTGCTGGCTTGGCTGGGCCGGCTCCCCTCTTCTCCCGCCCTCCTGGTCACCCCCTTCCCCCCTCCCCACCGCGGCTGACATTTCCCGGGTTTGGGTCCTTGGCAGAGTCCTAGCCACTCTCCTGGCTCCTTGGAGCATCAACCACACACACACACACACACACACACACACACACACACACACACACACACACGCATCAACCCAGAGCTCCCTCCTCAAACGCCCCTTTTGCTTGGTTCCCTAAGTTCCAAAGTGCCATCCTTTCACCCCCTGAGTTAGCTTCTGAACCTGCCCCCCACCCCCATTCTCCACGCCCGCCAGCGCTGTCTGCACAGCCCTTCCTGCTCCCGCCCCGCGCTGGGTTGGACCTTCTGGGGCGGGGAACACATGTTGGGTGCCCGGCAGACACCCAGATGCCGACCGAGTGCACCCCTCGAGAAAGGGATCACGCCAAGCAGGATTCGAACCTGATTATTCCCGAGCAAGGGCCTGGGAATCGAAGCGCACCTCTTCCCTGTGGTCACCCCAAGTCATTCTTTCTGCCAGAGAGATGTGCTTAAACCAAAACTCTGCGGTGGAGGGGCGGGCTAGTGGGGTGCTTTACTCGGGCCTCTGTCCGGTGCTGGCCCTCGCTCAGATTACGGGCCCGGGCTGTTGATCCCCTTTAGGATATCATAAAAATTTATCTTGATCAATGATCAAGACACTTTGTATTTATAAACGGCTTTATTAAATGGAAACTCCTGTGTACAACTAAAGATAAGAATAAGCAGATGAATGTGGAGGGGGAGGAAAGCATCTTCTCCCCTTTCTTAATCCCCCTCCCCCGAAATCCATAAGTATCGAGACACTTGGACAATCACAGCCTGTGCTTGGCAACCTGTCCTCCAACCCCCTTATGTGGGGTGGTGGGAGAATAATAAAGATGGAGAAAATTCTATGTGTGCAGTCCGAAGCGTTACTGGCGCCTCCCGGCCCAAACGCAGTTTCATATTCATGAGTGTGGGATAGATAAAGACAAATTCCTCCCTGTAATAACACTTGGATTCGCATCCGTCTTTGTGGCCTTTAGGTTTAGGGGACTGAAGACAGATGTTTGCATCGCCTTTCTCCTCTTGTCTAGTGCCCATAAAGAAACCCCATTTAGAGTGCTGCCATTTGGTTTCCGCCGCAGTAAAACCTTGTACACATTTATTTTCATCTCACCCTTGTGCACAAAAAAGTGTACACTGGTCACCAAGGGCCCTTCTTTATCAAATACGCATTGCACAGCACACACGCGCAATAAAACTATCAGTCCTCGGTCTTTAACAAAAAAACCAAACAAGCAAAAACAACGATCACCAGCTTTCTCGCTAGAGCTCGCTGCCTTGCGCTGTTCCCAGGTCCTGAGGACAAGCGAACACTTGTAGACCAGCCTGAAACTCACCCCACAAAGAAACACAAAGCTGGGGGGCCGCGGTCCCCGTTTAATCCATTGCGGCGGCCGCATCCTCGGCAGTTTCGTGAGCAATGAAACAGGGCGGCGGTGGAGAGCGAGCGCCCATCCGCTCCCCGGCACTCGCATCGAATTAAACCACTTAGTTTGGCAAACACTGAACGCCTAAATGCCCCTGTAAAGACTTTATGAGTTTGTTACTTTAATTACTGACTTGTTACAGAGCACATAAAGGGGGTAATGAATGCAATAAAACTAATTATCTACACATTTAATTCATATAAAATATCCAGGGTTTGTTTACACCACACGACGATTCAACTAAGCATTCCCATTCTTGTCCACCGAGAGGAAGGATTTAATGAAATAGTTTCCCTTATTCTGCTGGAGTCTAACGAACCAAATGACAATTACCCTCCGCTTAAATCACGGGGCCACTGAGGTCCACAAATCACCTGCTCACTTCTTTGTCTGCGCCCCGGTGCCAGCCCCCAAGAGCCTGAGGAAGGGGACGCGGAAGGCGCCCGGCATTTAAATGGTCAGGACGCTTACTGAGGCTCAGTACCATCCAGAAAACCTAAAAGGCAGACAGCAATCCCTTTTGGGAAGCCCCGGTGCGGGATTATGAGCACCTGTAAAAAAGTGGAGGCGAACAGGAGAGCTAGGGATGATGGAAGAGGAGACGCATTTTGGGTACTCTTCATGCCCGTTTGGTAGTTACGGTCGGCGTAATCAAAAGCAACAACCGCACGAAACCTCCAAACCAACCAAATGCAAACCTGCGCTAATGCATACAGACACAGTGCCGAGCCCACGTTTTGAGACTCTCGGTTGAGAATCCAGATGTTTTTTTACCAAGAGCTTCGCGGCGATGTGTGTTTTATATTTGCTTTTCTTACTTTTATTTTTTTAACCGGTCTCATGCCCGAGTCTCCCGAAAGCATATTAAAGTGCAAGGAAAAAGGCACTCTGCCTTTTCTTGCTCTGCCTTTCTTCGCCCCTTCTACAAGGTGTATTGAAAGAAATCCGCTTATGGTTCACATAACCCTCCCTGGCCTACTTACTCTATGATACAGGGCGCCTGAGTCTTGCCAATGTCCCAGTCCTTTATAAATTTCATGCGCTTCGGGGGGTAGGCTTGTTGTTAAATTGAGCGTGTAACACTCTTACAAAACAAGTTTTCTATGACATCAAGATTTCTTCTCCCTAACCGAGGGAGAGAGAGCGAGCAAGGGGGGAAAAAGGAGGACGAAGAAAGGGGAAACACACACACATAACTATCTCAATTTATGCCTAAGGTATATGATCAGTTAAAAAGGCTTAAAAGCTCGGGGAAATTGGATCAGGGAGAATCGTCACCCAACTTTCATTATTTCCAAGTAGTGTGATTGAATTAAAGGGCAGGGAGCTGGTTAGAAGGGAGGATCAGGGGCTCAGTGCGTAATGGTGTGGTATTAAATTCTAATTAGAGATGCAGGAATCAATGATAGGGAGGTTGGACAGCTCAGTCCCCCAGTGCCAGCCCAATAGACGGATGAGTTATTGTCATGTAAAAAGCGCCAGCAATAAGACCAACCGCTTTGCTATTGTCCAAGTGGAAAGAGCCAAGTTTATTATGAGACTATATGCTCTAGAGACCTCAGACAAGGCATCTCATAGGAGGCTTTTTCATAAAACTAGGCTCTGCTGGTAGTAAGGAGGCCAGTTTGGAGGCAGGCGTTGAGCTGAGCACATCTCCCCACTCCAGCCACCTTCTCCATATCCATCTTTGATTTCATTTTTCCACTTGGCTGAGCCATCCAGAACCTTTTCAATGTATAAAATGGAATATTCTTACCTCAATTCCTCTGCCTACGAGTCCTGTATGGCTGGGATGGACACCTCGAGCCTGGCTTCAGCCTATGCTGACTTCAGTTCCTGCAGCCAGGCCAGTGGCTTCCAGTATAACCCGATCAGGACCACTTTTGGGGCCACGTCCGGCTGCCCGTCCCTCACGCCGGGATCCTGCAGCCTGGGTACCCTCAGGGATCACCAGAGCAGTCCCTACGCCGCAGGTAAGGACCGCCAGCTCGCTCCGCGGAGGAAGCCGCCTTTCTACTCCGTATATAGGAAGCCTTGATTGCATTTGAAAATGGAAATGTGTTTAGTATTTACCAAACGAAATTTGCTTACACAAATGAAAGAATTTATCACGTTAGAAGCGATTGCAGGGAGGGGTAATTCACTTACAGGGTTACACTATCCTAAGTCACACCCGAACCGCCAACAAAATTATCTTAAGCTGCCAAAATGATAGGCATAATTTATTTACTTTGCGATGAGACGTAAAGCTTAGAAAATAATTAAATAACAAAGAGTAAAGCTCATTACTGGCAGTGTCTCTCTCGCTCTCTCTTGCTCTCTTTTTTTAAAGAATCGACGGCGGCTCACACCTCTTTGGCTGGTCATTTTTATGATGGTTTATTGCATTTGTTGTTGTTTGTTGTCGTCGTCGTTGTTGTTGTTTTTTGCAGCGCTTTTTCCTCTCCCTCCAATTTTTGGGCCGCGTCAACTTCTAAGAATTGAAAAGTTGCAATGTTGGGAGTGTTTGGTAACTTCTTCCCTGGTTGCTTAGAACCGCGGTGGATGTTTTTGGACTCTTTTGCTGCTAAAAACTCCCTCCAGCGCGCGTCTCATCACTCACCCCTAGAGCGTGTGTGCCAGCACTGGCCTGCCAAAGCCCAAAGTTTGCGAGCCCCGTTTCGGTCTTAACGAATTCGCTTGGTTTTTTTTCCCCCCGCAGCTTCGTCCACTCAGTACCCTCCCTCCTCGAGAGTGTTGGGGTAAGCGGCTCCTGGGGGCGACCTGATCTTAGTCCCCGGAGTTGAGCTATGGCGGGCCAAGCGCTGCTGGCTGTTTTGTTCATCCTGTCTCTTGGTGTCATCCTTTAGTTCCGTACAAACTCTTCACCGACCACGGCGGCCTCAACGAGAAGCGCAAGCAGAGGCGCATCCGCACCACGTTCACCAGCGCGCAGCTCAAGGAGCTGGAGAGGGTTTTCGCCGAGACTCACTACCCGGACATCTACACCCGGGAGGAGCTGGCTCTGAAGATCGACCTCACCGAGGCCAGAGTCCAGGTACCCGCGCCCACAGGGACACGGGCCCTGCTCGGCCTCCTGCGCCCAGGCAGGGATGGGGATGCGGGGATGGCTAGTGCTGCGGAAATGTGACATTCTGAAAACAGCCTAGCGGGAGGGCGCAGACTTCCAGCAGAGAGGCCGCACGTGGAGAGGGCGCGCACGCTGGCTAGGAAAGGTTAAGGCGCGCCACTCTTGACAATTTATTCGCAGCTGCACGGGAGCAGACATTCCAGGGTCATGGGGCGTGTGTGAGCTGGGCGTACTGTGGACAGGTCCTGGTGCTACGTGGAGGGGCTGTAGACTTTGCCCCTTGTGGCTCAAGGGCTGATCACACAGCGGGGCTGCGTAGAGGTATTTTATAGCTTGCATCAGTTGTGCAAAGGGGCTGTCAGTCCTGAAAGTCAGGAACCACACAGCTTTCTTTAAGTTGTTAGGAAGGGAGGTGCATGCGTGCCCCAGGAGCCCCGGGACTCTACAGGTGAGTCTCCACCCGCAGTGGAAGGGCGTGAGCACCATTGCCGCTCCTTCAGGGGAGGCCGAAGTCTGGTACTAAGCCGCCTGCACTACCCCTAGAAGCCTCCTCTTCTGCCTAACGATTAAGAGTTAAACTTCAGACCTGTGATCCTACGGGTAGATGGCGGGTTTGAGGTTGTTCAAACGCAGATCAAAATAAAGCATTATATATATATATATATATGTGTGTGTGTGTGTGTGTGTGTGTGTGTGTGTGTATTTAAACGCATATGTGGATATATGTGTGTGTTGTGATCTTTGGGTAGTCCTGCAAAGGGGTGGCCATGCAACAAAGCAGAATATGAATACAATGCATCTTGATCAATGCACCCCACTCCACCTACTCACCCAAACCTAACGGTATTTCATGTTAAGGCCTTCCTGGAACCCGTGGTCTTGGGGGGTCTCTGAAAAGTGTCTGTTCTTTGACATGCTCTCCCGCTGAGAAAGCTGCACTAGCCACGAGGAAGTGTAGACCTGGTGGCTGTGTGGTCACTCTGGCACCTGTGGCACGTGCCGGTGGTGTGTGTGTGTGCACACGCGCGCGCGTGCAATGGAGATTGGCTTCATGGCTGCTTTTTCTTGTTTTCTCCTCTCTCTGTGCTGCATCGCCTCTGCTGTCTCGGCCCAGGTGTGGTTCCAGAATCGGCGTGCCAAGTTCCGCAAGCAGGAGCGCGCCGCCGCCGCCGCCGCCGCCGCCGCCAAGAACGGCTCGTCGGGCAAGAAGTCTGACTCCTCTCGGGACGACGAGGGCAAAGAAGCCAAAAGCACCGACCCAGATAGCACCGGGGGGCCGGGGCCCAATCCCAACCCCACTCCCAGCTGCGGGGCGAGCGGCGGAGGCGG